GGGACCAGTCCTTCGAGAGGGATGTCATGCTTGTGAGGGTGGAGGGACAGCACAAGGGGGGAAGACCCTGGATGAGATGGTCTGATTCAGTGACTGGGGTAATGGGGATAGGTTTGTCAAGATTGTGAGATAATAAGATTGGCACAGGACAGAGCAGGGCTGTTTTACATAGGGTTGCTATGAGTTGCAGGCAACTCAATGGCACATAACAACAAGTTGCCAGACACAAGTGATGGTGTTTTGAATTGCCTCATATGTGTGTGAAAGTTGGACAATGAATAAGGAACACTGAAGAACTGATGCCTTTGGAGTACTGACAAAATATACTGAACATACCATGGACTAGAACAAACAATTTGTCTTGAAAGCAATAAAGCAAGAAGTCTGACAAGTTGCCAAGAGGGGTGAATTCCAGGAGAAAGATGTCATATACTTGAGGTTAGAGAAAAGAGGAAGACCTCAATTAAAGGATTTGAAACAGTGGAGCACAATGGGGTCAGATTGTGAGGATAATTTAAGATCAGGCAGCATTTCCTTCAGTTGCACATAGGTAGAATCCCGTAGTTGCTACAGAGGTTTACCCTAAGGGAATGATTAAGCCCCACCCAATAATCTGAGGAGATTTGCACTTGAAAAGCTTTGTGGACACATGCTAGATGTTGAAAACAAAGGGAAAAAAAAGACTTTGACTTTTCAAAAATCCTCACCACTAGACCAACAGGCAGTATCATAATAGCAGAAGAAAAGACTCAAGTTGTTAAAGATTTCCTTATTTGGATCCACAATCAATACCCTTGGCAAAATTGTTAAGTGCCCTAGACTCCAGTATACTTCATAGCCACCCTATAAACAAGTACCTGAACCTTGTTCTATCCTATGCCAATCTCACAATCTCTGACTTACTTGAGCCCATTGTAGCAATTACTGTGTCAGTCATTTCCCTGATTATATTCCTCTCTATCACCGACCTTCTACCTTTCCAAGCATGATGTCCTTCTCCAAGCTATAGCCTCTTGCAGCAACATGCCCAAAGTACAAGAGAGGAAGCTTTCTCCTCTTTGCCTTCAAGGAGCGCACTGGCTGCACCTTGTCCAAAACATGTCTGTTTATTACACAACAACTCAAAGGCATCAATTCTTCTGTCATCTTTATTCATTGTCCAGCTCTGTGATGCACAGCAAGTGACTGAAAGACCATAGCCTGAAACAGGGACACCGTAGTCCTCAAATTGCCATCAATATTGAAGAAAAAAAGTTGGAGGAATCCCTGACTGCAGACTTTCCTGGTGTAATATGTCTTCTGATCTCCTGACTTCTGGTACCAAGGGTGTTGATTGTGAATCCAAGTAAGACGAAGTTGCTGACAATTTTATTCTTTTCTGCATCTATCATGATGCTTGTTTATTGGTCCAGTGAATGAGAATTTTTGTTTTCTGATCTGCAACAAATGCTTCAAGTCCTCCTCAAGTTCAGCAAGCAAAGCTGTGGCATCTGCATAACACAGTAAGTCTTCCTCCAATCTTTTTTTTTTCTTTTTTAATTGTTGTGTACCATCGAATAGGATACAATTGGCACAGGAAATTGTCCCTCCTTCTCCAGCAGAGCATCTGGTGGATTTAAACTGTGTGCCTACGGGATTGCAGTGCAGTTTCTTGCCAGTAGGTCACCAGAGCTCCCTTCTTCCTCCAATTTTGATGCTGCATTCTTCTTCAGAGGAATCTAGTTTCTCCAATAATTTGCTGAGCATAATGAATGAATAAATATGGAGAAGATACAACCCCAATGCATACCTTTCTTAATTTTAGACTATGTCCTGTTCCTTCAGAACTTCAGAAACCTCTTGGCCTAGGTATGAGTTTTACATAAGTACAATTAGTGTTAGGGGATTCCCATTCTTCTCAATGTTAGCCATAATTTGTTATGACTAGCACAATCAAATGTCTGTACATAATCAATAAAACACAAATAGACATTCTTCTGGTATTTTTTACTTTCAGCCAGGATCCGTCTAGTAGCAGTAGTGATAACCCTGGTGCTACAGCCTCTTCTAAACCCCTCTTGAATTTCTGGCTGTTGTCTTTTAATATTCTAACCATTTTCAGATGATATTCAGCAATAATTTTGTTTGTATATGATATTAATGATACTGTTTGATAATGTCCACATTCTGTTGGATCACCTTTCTTGGGAATGGGAATATGGATCTCTTCCAGTCAGTTGGCCAAACAGCTGTCCTCCAAATTTCCTGGCATAAACTAGGGCTACATAGTGAGCATACCCAGGGCTACATCTGTTATTCCATTGATTCTTGGGGCCTTATTTTTTGCCAATGATTTCAGTGCAGCCTGAACTTCTGCCTTTGTTACCATTGGCTCTTGTTCATGTGGTTACTTCATGAAACTTTTCAGTTATCAACCAATTCTTTTTGATACAATTTGATACAATTATTTTTGACCCTGTGTATTTCTTTCATCTTCTTTTTTGTTTCTCAGAAATTAAAGATTTTGCCCATAACATCTTTCAGGATTTCAACTCAAGGTTTGAATTTGTTTTTCAGTTCTTTCAACTTCAGAAATACCAAGAGAGTCCTTCCCTCCTTATTCTCCGGCTCTTTGCACATTCTGTTATAATGTAAGATCAGGCTAGGAGGAAGATGCATCAACAATCTACTTCATGCAGATTACACAACCTTGCTTGCTCAAAGTGTGGAGGACTTAAATGTTTGCTTCAGAAAATCAAAGGCTATAGCCTTCAACATGAGTTGTATCTCAATACCAAGAAGACAAAGATTTTCACCACTGGACTGATAACAACATCATGATTGATAGAGAAAAGACTGAAACTGACAATGATTTAATCTTACTTGGATCGAAAATCAACACCCTTGGTACCAGCAGTCAGGAGGCATATTGCTTTGAGTGAGTCTGCCATCAGGGATCTCTCCAAATTACTGAAGAGCACTAAGTTTGAGGACTAAGGTGTGTTTGATTCAGGCCATGGTCTTTTCATTCAGCTGCTATGTGTCTGAAAGCTAGGCAATGAACAAAGATGACAGAAGAAAAATTGACATCTTTGATTTGTAGTGTTGGAGAAGAGTACTGAATAGCACATGAAATGCCAAGAGAACAAACAGGCCTGTACTGGAGAAAGTGAAACTAGGGTGTTCCTTGGAGGTAAGGATGATGAAACTCTGATTTCACATATTTTGGGTATGTTACCAGGAGAGGCCAGTATTTAGAGAACATCATGCTTGGAAAGGTAGAGGGTCAGCGTAAGAGAGGAAGACCCTTGATGAGACTGACTGACACAATGGCTGTAGCAATGAGTCAAATGTGTCAGAGATGGTGAGGCAGGTTCAGAGCCTTTGTTCATAGGGTTGCTATGAGTTGTAGACTTTATGGCATACAACAACAATGAAAAGCTGGCAGCCACTAAGAGCCCCCTTCTAGGACTGGATATTAAAAGGAACTGGTGAGTATGTTCACACATGGTGACTACCTGGATCCACTTGATAAATGGAAGTAGGAATCATGCAACAACGAAAAGACAGACTGAGTTTAGGTGTGTTCTATCAGCACTGATGACCCAGCATGCACACATGTATGGATAAGTGAAAAAGGGTGATTGGCCAGAGAAGCAAAGAATAGTGAGGACCCTTGACTTTCTGACTTAGCCCACATGAGAAGCTAAAGCTGAAAGTTGAAGGGACCAGATGGTCTGAAATTTAGGAAGATATATGGATCCCTGATTTGTAGCTGGTCCCATTGGGTCTCACCATGGATGGCCAAAGATGAGTTGACTAGAACCTGACCAGATGAAAAGATGATCTCAAAATAAAGAAAACAAAAATCCTCACTACCAGGCCAATAGGCAACATCTTAATAGATGGAGAATAGATGGAAGTTGTCAACAATTTTTTCGTGCTTGGGTCGAAAATTAACAGCCTTGGTACCAGCAGCAAGAGTATCAGGAGAAGTATCTCACTGGGTAAGCCTCCTGTCAGGGACTTCTCCAAATTACTGAAAAGCAATGCTGTCGGTTTTAAAAACTAAGATGCACTTTATTCAGGCCATGGTCTGCAATCACTTGTTATGCGTGTGAGAGCTGGAATATGAGTAAGAATAACAGAAGAGTCAATGTCGAAGTACTGACTATCCCAAGGACTGCCAAAAGAATAAACAGGTCTGTCCTGAAGAAAGTGAAACCAGGGGGCTTCCTGTAGGCAAGAATGGTAAAACTTTATCTTGTATACTCTGGGCATGTTGTTAGGATGTGTCAGTCCTTGGATAAAGGCATTATGCTTAGAAAGGTGGGGGCCAGGCAATATAGTGGAGAGACAGCTATGAGTTGGTTCTGACTAGATGGCACACAACAACTATTTCAATATTACATTTTAAGCTCCCTGAGGACATGAACTCCATACTGTGTGTATGATTCTGTGAGACATGTATGGTCACTGTAGCAGATATCGGAGTGAGTAGAACTGTAAGACTGATGTTGGAATTAGTAGAAGGAGGTGCAGGAGTGTGAGAGATCACATCTAGCCATATAAGAATTGGTTTTTTACTGTGTTAGTGATAGGGATAATTCCTTGAAGAGAGGGAATTAGTAGAGTCAGATATGGCTATCCTCATGCTGCCTACATTCTTTGCAGTCACTATGAGTCAGGGCAAACTTGACAGCACTTAACAACAACAAATAACAAGCAATACAGAATGATGCCATGTAGTATAATTTGACACTTTCAACACTGGCTTATGTTTTGTAGAAGAGCTAACCATTTGTTAACACTTTGGGAAAAAAGATTTTAGTGTGGTAGAAGCATGGAAGAGAACCTTGACTCATAAAAGGACTTGAGTAGCTCCTTACTCCCTTCCTTCCAACCGTATCTTCACAAAGCTAAGGCAAAATAAACAGTAAATATAAAAGAGAAATGTAAGCCATTACCAGATTTTAGTTTTTGTTCCCTTGATTTACAATTTACTCATCAAAATTTCTTACTGCAGAATGAGACTGGTGAGCTTTCAGGACTGGTTCAGCATCCACTGCTTTTTTAGCAACCATCAACTGTAACATCTGTTTCCGATACTTGCTCATGATGAGTTCCAAAGCATCCTGGTGTTCCTCCAAGGAAATCCAAAGCTCTATTAAAAAAAAAAGAAATAACTTGGCAGTGATAGCTGAGAGATAGCTCCCCAACCAATATCTTAGCAATTGAAATGTTATGACATTTAATGACATGCTGTGAATCCAAAGTTGTAAACCAATGTTTAAGTCCACAAAATCAAAGAGCTATGATTTATGTGAAAAATAAGTTCATACAGAGATACCATAGTCTAACAGAAATAGTGTAGGATGATTTTACATCTACTGATTTTACAGTAGATATGAGTTTAAACTTTATTATCAAGAAAACAAAGATTCTAACCACTGGGCCAACTGGCAGCATCAGTATGGATGGTAAAGAGATTGAGATAGTTAATAGTTTTAGTTTACTTGGCTCCACAGTCAACACTCTTGGTAACAGCAGCCAGAAAATCAAGAGACGAATTGTATTGGGAAAGTCGGCTGTGAGGGACCTCTCAAGAGTAATGAAGAGCAATGATGTCAGACTGGAGACTAAGGTGCGCCTGATCCAGGCTATAGTCTTCGCAATTACGTGCTATGCATCAGAGAGTTGGACAGTGAATAGAGTTGATAAAAAGAGAATTGATGCCTTTGAGCTGTGGTGCTGGGGAAGAGTGCTTAATACACCATGGACTGCTAGGAGAACAAACAGGTTTGTCCTGGAGAGGGTAAAGCCAGAATGTTCCCTGGAGTCAAGGATTATGAAGCTTTGTCTGACATATTTTGGGCATGTTGCAAGAAGGGACTGGTCCTTGGAGAGGGACATCATCATGTTTGGCAGAGTGGAGGGGCGGCGAAGGAAAGGAAGACTTTTGATGAGATGGATCAATTCTGTGACTAGAGAGGTGGGAATAAGTGTGTTTGAGATGACTAGGTTGGCACAGGATAGAAGATTGTATAGAACTTTTGTACATAGGGTTGCTATAAGTCGCAAGCGACTCGATGGCACATAACAACAACAGCAACAACAAGGCTCTAGCAAATCATATAATCTTGCTAAATCTACTTATTATCTATAACATTAAATACCTCCCTTGTCTATGTAAAAATGAAGATATGAGAATACAACATGAAGTTATATGTGAGGACCTTCTGTGTGGAGTTTATCTTTCAATATGACATTCCTAGTGACTTTGCCTTATAGATGGGTAGGAATATGTGCATGGTGTGTGTGAGCCTATACACAAGGGGACAGGCTATCTGCCAATTCACAAGGCGACTGGCTAGTCTTGTCATTAAATTGAGCAATTCTGCAGCAGGAGAATGAGACCTTCCTAACACAAGCAAAGAAACCTCACCACTAGGAAAAGAGCAAGCAAGCAGGCCTACAAGACCAACAACCATAGAGACACAGCAGGGTTCAGATGTTTTGTTCATAGGGTCGCTATGAATCGTACTGGATTTGTTGGCACCTAACAACAAGAACAACAGTAGTAAGGAGCTGCGCTAACCCAAGGGCATGTAATTTGAATCTACAAGCTGCTCTGTGGGATAAAGATGGGCAATCTCCTCCTGTGGGATTTACTGCCTATAAAAACCTGTTGGAGGGTAAGGTAAGAGTTGGTTATAACTCAATGGGTGTTGTTAGGTGCTATGAGTGACTCATAGCAACAAATCTGAACCCTGACCTCTCCTGTGTGATTCTTATCCTCTCTGACTACTAGAGGCCACTGCAGTCACTCTATCAGTCCATTTTATCGAGGGTTGTTCTCTCTTTTGCCAAGCTTCCATCTTTACAAGCATGATGTCTAAAAAGACATGGAAAGCCAAGGAACAGCCTCTCTTAACAATAGGCCCAAAGTATGTGACATGAAGCTTTACCATCTTTGTCTCTAAGAAGCACATTGGCTGCACTTTTTCCAAGACGTGTCCTTTTTTGGCTAGTCACAGGATATTTAAGAGTGTTGTCCAACAACACAACTCAAAGGCATTGATTTTTTCCTCTGTCATCGTTATTCATAATCATTGTGTAGCTCTCAGATACACTGCAGGTGACTGAAAAGACCATAGCCTGAATCAGGCACACCTTGGTCTTTAAAATGACATCATTGCTCTTCAGGGCTTGAGAGTACATAACAAGAAACACCTCTATAAATATAAAATCAGTCGGATGATCTTGCAAAAAAATAATTTACCAATCCAACCATATAGCTATTGAGTCAGCAGGAAACACCTTCTTTAAAAAGTATTTACCTTAAAATGAATAAAGGATGTGAATTTCTGCTAACAATAGGCAGTTTTGCAAGAATTTAAATGCTACTGGAAAAAAGCATGGCTCAGAACTCAGCAATGTTTCCTTTCATTGTATCCGGAGTTCGCTATAAGTTGGAGTGGACTAGGCAGCATCTAACAATAACTGGAGAAAAAAACAAAACAAACTACAAGAAAAGCCTGACTAACCTCTGTTTTCCTGCTGTAAGTCTCTTATCTGTGTGTTTTCTTGTGACAGTAGAATGTGAGGCTTGTATTTGGACATGTCCTTCACATCGGATGCATCCTCTTGATACTGGACAAACAAAAACAGACAAAAAGTGCGCCAGGGCGGGGGAAAGGCAGACAAAACTGAAGAGATCAGAATTGCTCCTCCAGGAGGCAACACCAGCCCCAGTCGGGGGGGTCTCACCTCTGCCCTCTAAGACCAGGGCAGACTCCTGGCCAAATACCCCATTTTCCCTTGCACTTCATATCTCAAGAAGCGCCCAGAGCCCGGGGCAAAGATCCCCTCTCTCTGACCGACCTGGTCCGGAAGCGCTGCCCCCGCCTCCCTCATAGCTTCCACCCGCCGGCGCAGTGCTGTCGACTGATCCACCAGCGATTCGGCGGCCGCATCATGCTCCTGCAGCCTTTCCAGCAACGTCTTGGCATCTGTCAGGATCTTTTCGATGGTGCAGGTCATCGCGGCTACACTGCCCCAAATGTCCACACTACTAGTCCATGGGATTCGCTAGGATCTTCTTTGAACTCGTTTCGGCGTAACATGCGTCATTTCCGGGTAAATATGCAAAGTCCCAGAGGCGCTGGGCTCCAACGCCTGCGCAATGACAGCTCTGTCCGCTGGCTGACCCCCTTTCACCTGTGGCTTTGCTGCAGTAATACCCTTAGTTCCCTGTTCCTGAGTTTCGGGAACTAAGGGTAGTGCTATTGTATTTCTTCCCCCCCGCCCCCCAGCGGTCTTTTCAACATGTATGCGGAGCAGATTATCCGAGAGGCTGGGCTCTATGAGGAGAATTGTGGCATCAGGATTGGTGGAAGGTCTATTAACAATCTCCGTTATGCAGATGACACAACCC